GCAAGTCTACCGAATTTGGGAGTGATGCGCCTAGCCTTCAGTGTCTCAAACGTGCGGCAGTGTTGTATTACGTCCGCTACAGATGCCAAGGTGTCCTTGCCGATGAGGAAATTGTAGACATCCTCAGCAACCCCTTTGAGAAGATGCCCTACCTTGTCGTCTTCTTTCATGCGTGGGTCTACAGACTTGCACAATTTCAAAATCTCTTCAATGTACGTTGTGCATGTTTCACCGGGGACTTGAGCACGCTGCATCAAAGTTTGCTCAGCGCGCTTCTTCTTCATCAATGGGTCCCCGAAGCAGCTCGCTATTTCTTTCTCAAACGCTTCCCAGGTCATTATTGTTTCTTCGTGGTTTTCAAACCACACCAACGCCGTCCCTTGAAGAAACAATCCGACGTTGGACAACCGGGAGGCCGCATCCCAACAGTTGTATTTACTCACACGGTTGAAGTGTTTCAGCCATTCGTCAACGTCTTCTCCGACCCTCCCTGAGAAGCTCCGTGGTACCATGTGCCGGGGCCACGCAGCGCCAGACGAAGAGTGCGTGGTGTCGCCGTCAGCAATCGGATCCATAGAGAGCGGTGGTAGACCAGCCAGTCGGCGGCTTCGGCGTAGTTCTTGAGGTAGCGCTTCCGTGATCGTTGGACTTGGATCGCTCCGCTGTACCCCGCACCTTCCACCAATCTTGTTACGGTGCGATGGATGCCTTTATTTACAGGAGATGATCAATGCGAGAGTCCAGGGATCTGGCCGATCACTGCTCGTGCCAACCTCGTTCTCCTCTTCTTCCACGCGCATCCTCAGTATCGTAGCAATATTATAATTCTCCAAGAAATTTGGCTTACACCAGATAAAAATTTCCATCTTGCAGGTTTTCGTTCTTTTCGATTAGATCGCCCATCACGTGGTGGTGGTTTAATGATCCTTGTATCAAGTAAATTATGCCATAAAGCGAAAATTTCTTTCAGAATGTTAGACTTCGATTGCGAATTATTAGCATTAGACTTGTGTCTCCCCGGATACCACCCTTTTTCAATCGTAAATTGTTACTTCCCCTCCGGTGTGCAAAGCACGCGTTATCTTGACAGCGTTTTGGTAGCATGTAGAAAGGAAATTGTACTCACAGGAGACTTCAATTCACACCATTTGTCTTGGGGTATAAGGACAGATTCTTGTGGTAGGCGACTGTGGGAATGGACCATTGATCACAACCTCTCCTGTCTGAATAAAGGTCATGTAACATTTGTCCGAGGTCAAACTAGCTCAGTATTGGATTTAACGTTTTGCTCCAATGCAATCAAGATTTTGTCATGGCTGTTCTGGATTCGACAACTAACAGTGACCATCTTCCTGTAGTTTTTGACATTACTTGTCCAACAATAACTTTAGATCAGCCAAAACGCACATACATCAACAAAAGCAAATTTCAAGCCTGCCTCCGTTCTGCCATTTCCAAGCTTGGAAATGCCAGTACTAAGGAGATAGCATCTACGATAGGTTCAATGCTGGAGGGATCTAGAAAACATTCTGAATTTTCTATTCCATCCAATAAACGATCCTCCTCTCGTTGGTGGAACGATGAGTGTACGCGCGATTATAGAAGACGAAAAGCCGCTTGGAAAAAACTTCTTCTTAATCAGAGCCCAACAAACTGGAAAGACTATCAATTCCTTGCTGGCGTATTTAAGCGTACAGTGAACCGCGCGAAAGAAGAATACGAGAGTAGACATTTTGATTATCTTTCTAAATCAAAGAATAAGCGTGCTTTGTTCGCTTATCTTCGGACAAGAAAAGTACTACCAGCACCTTTAACGTTGCAGTCATGTGTCTTGACGCCGGTAGAAATGAACACCTCTCTAGAAGACATAGCGCAAGGTTTAGAACGCCGCTTCACTGCGAATTTTTCGGCTATTCAGTGCGTTCTGGTAAACTTGCATGAATTTCCAGAAGTTTCTTTAGCTGAATTGAATCAGACAGTATTATGCTTACCGAGGACGGCTCCCGGACCAGATGGGATTACGAACTCTATGTTGAAATGTTTACTCCAGGAATCGCCTAATCTTTTGCTAGAACTAGTGAATTACTCTTTGGGGAATGCATGGATACCTCCAGAATGGAAACTTGCCAAAATTGTATTGTTGCTAAAAAATGAAAATGATGCATACACGTTGGATAACATAAGGCCGATCGCACTGACATCAAACTTAGTGAAATTGGTTGAGAGAATCATCACTATACGAATTAATGAACTTATTACCATGAGGTCTATTCTAAGTCCCTGTCAAATTGGGTTCAGGGCTGGTTGTTCAATTTGGGATGCCCACGTTGACTTAGAAAGTAGGCTTCAATTAGCTCGGCTACATAAAAAATATGCTGCTTTAGTTACCTTAGACATCGCTAAAGCATATGATACCGTGGAGCACTGTATTTTGATAGATCGATTAGAATACCTTGATTTTCCATCATACATAGTAGCGTGGGTTCACAATTTTCTCGCAGACAGGAAATTTTATTGTTTTAAAGATGGGTTTTCATCATCTACTCATACCCAAACGAAGGGAGTACCGCAAGGCTCGGTGCTTTCCCCGGTGCTAATTAATTTACTAATGAGCACCATCCCACGTAAACAGGATATAACAACTTATGTTTATGCAGACGATATCGCATTTTTTGCAATGGCAGATAACATTCAGACCTTATATGAACGGCTGCAGACTTACCGTAATATATTGGAGAGCTGGCTCGATGGCAACAGCTTTTTACTTAATCCGAGTAAATGTGCCCTCCTTGTTTTCCCGCTGCAATACCCTGTGAACATCTCTCTGTCTTACCATCATGAGGATATACCACAGGTGGAATCTGTTAAATACCTTGGAGTAATTTATCACACATCGCTTAACTGGCGATCTCATATCGAATATATCGCCGGAAAAGGTGTGCGGGCCATTGGCATATTACGTAGGCTAAGTAACTACCGCATAGGTATGAGAAGAGACACATTATTAATGATATATCGCATGTATGTTCGTCCCATTTTGGAATTTGGTTGTGTGCTTTTCTCTGGAGTTCCAGCTTACAGGTTGCGGCCTCTAATTCTTCTGGAAAGAGAAGCTTTGCGCTTATGCCTTGGCCTTCCCGAAACAGTCGCCAACAATGTGTTATATCTTGAATGGAGGATCCCTCCGCTTTCTTGTCGAATTCGCCTTCTGACTGTTCAGACATTCTTAAGAATTTATGAATCACCATTACGACATTCAGAAACAGCCTTTATTTCTACCCCGGAATCATTTTTTGCTGCTAGATGGCCGCGATTTCACACGCCACAAATTATATTTGTGCAAAATTTACTGGAGCCTCTAAACGTACGTATATGCGACATCATGCCGAGTCGTTATAATTCAGCCCCGGTGGAAATTCAATTCGACGACATTTTTCCTAATAATGCCAAATTACTTCCCCATAATATTTTGGATGGTTTACTCCAAGATCACCTGCGCCGTATTACAACGAACGTTATTATTGCTACAGACGCATCGCAATACGACGAAAAGTCAGGGGTTGGTATTTTCAGCCCGATTTTAAATTGGATTTATTCCCTTCGACTACCCGATTTCATTCCCGTTTTTGTGGCTGAGTTTCTGGCAGTAGTGCTCGCCTTACGCAAGTTAGATACAGCAATTACATCAGCTGTCATAATAACAGATTCCCTATCTCTTTGTGCGGCACTTTCTGTTGGTGCTGATAATCACGTAACAAAGGCGTTCCGTGCACTAGTACCTGCGCATTTAAGAAAAGTGCGATTAGTTTGGGTGCCTGGACATAAAGGTTTGTTTCTTAATGAAATAGCAGATTCCTTAGCTAAGTCGTCAATCAGCGAACCAATTCTACCGCTCTGTCCATCATCCGCTTATGTGACTGCTGCTCGATTCCGCAGACGTACGCTTATGCAAGTCTTTAAAGGTTCAGCACTAACAAACTCTACAGAATATCGCCATTTATTATATCCCTGGCGAAGAGACTTTTGCCGCACCCGAAAACAAGAAGTAGCTATCACAAGGCTGCGTTGCCGGGTACCAAATCTAAATTTCTATAAACACAGGTCTGCTCAGGCACCTTCGCCACTGTGTGCATTCTGTGATGAACTGGAAACAATAGACCATTTCTTTTTGACCTGCAGGCGGTTTAACACATTACGAGAAACCCTATTAGAAATACCTTTGCGTGGCATTGGTATGGACTTATCTCTGCCTGTCATTTTGTCTTTTGGAGCTTCCATTTCTGGTTTCTGTAATGGCACAGTATGCGCGGCCGTCCGGGACTATATTGATGAAACCAATAGGTTGACTAATTAACCAGTTTCATTATCTTAACATGTTCACGTAATTATATACGTATAAAATCAGACTAATGCTCTATTCTAAGAATAAATTTGTTTATGTAAATATTTGTATGCATTACATTAAGCACCACACTTGCCTATAGGCTATCGGTAGTCTTTCTGTTATACCTCCATCATTTTAAACAGTAAATTTTAAAGGCGCTCTATTCTTGGCCAATCCCCCACAGTGGGTATGCGCCACTAACAATAGGAGAACAACAACAACAACAACAAATGGGCCGCAGCGGCGTGAGCTCCTCTGAACTCCCAGATATCACCGACCTGGGTAAGTGAACTCGTTGTTCCCCAGTGATAACACACAAGATTGTAGTGATGTTATCACTTAACCACACGCAGCGGTACCAAGGTGGCGACCTTCGATATTTCGAACCATGGCCAGGAGGCTGGGCATCCACATTGGCTTGCACGAATACGTCCACAGGCCCTACGGAATCCTGAACATTTTGGAGATCGTAAGCATCTACTGGCTGTTTCTTTTAGACAACGCAGAAAAGTTTATAAATCGTTCATAATGGCGTAATTATAACGAGGTGAACATCGTTATCGCAATGTTGATGAAAGAGACCGGGGCTTGCTTCGTTGTAGCCACTACGCCGTTATGAACCGTTTCCATCCTTGTATTTCTTGCAGAGCCCCGAAACCACACAGCAGTCGAAATCGAGTAGCGGTGCTTCGGTTGCGCAGGGGTGTACGACGAATACATAGCCATGAGAATATTCCGAAACGGTGCCGTAATAGCGGAGTTACACGCGATTGATGATAGAAGATATGCCCCCGCTTGTTTCGTTCTTTTCTTCTCTCGTCAGATCGTCACTCCTCCTGGCCGAGGGCTCTTCCTCACCTTGCGAGGAGGAAGAGCGGAAGCGGCAAGATGGCGTACCTATGAGCAGACAAGTTTTTTTTTTTTGATGACATCAGGCGCAAATGTTGACGCCAAGGCCAACGTGGGGGTTAACTAAAGGCCACGGCAGGAAAAGGGATTTTCGTAATATCTGGGGTTTGACGTCGCACGACCACGATACGTTAATAGGAAGTGATGTGTAGTGCACGCAGGATTACGGAAATGTCGACCTTCTGCTTATCTTTAACGTGCGCTGACATCACATAGTACACGGGCCTCGAGAAGGAATTGTTTCTAGGAATTAGTGGCACTCTCGGGGCTGGTAGTGCTGCCACGTTTTTCATTGTTTTATTCATTTCTTATTCTACTCCTAAAGGCCTCCAAAGGAGTATTACACAGGAGAACAGACATATGAATCAAACGATGTACGCTTACAAAATGCAAGAAATGAATATGCAAAATAACAAAAGCGAGCTATAAAATAAAAATAATTCGGGGTAGGTGTTTTGCAGAAATAAAAAAATAGAAGAAATATATAGACAATTGACTCGTACCCAGCATTCCGGCTCACGAGCAGGAGGCGTGCTTTCCCGCACGGTGGGGGCGGGGCCCCGCGTCACTCTATGGGACCGGAGAACAAAAACCTTAAATCATGTCAGCGTTGAACGCTGACATGATTCAAGGTATGTATACAAACATAGCTTACAAGGGGAAAAAAGTAAAACGAACTCTTGATTGTAAGACAGGCAAGTTTGAAATTGACAAATACATACGGTGCAGCATGTACAATGACCGTGAAAATTGTTAACCATTATGGAGAAACGTTGAAAACAAGAAAATAAATACTGGAGAACATATTAGCAAACACAAAAATAGTACCCGTGGTGGATATCTAGTCGCAAAGGTTGCGTAAAAGTTTCTGAAGCGTTGGGATCATGATCGGCACATTGAAATCGACGTGGGTGTTTAGGCAATGTGTTAAAAATGATCGGAAGTGGTTTCGGGGCCCTTCAAGTGAGATGCCATAATAGCCCAACGGCGCAATTTAAGGTCCGAAAGAGAAATACTTCGTAGCAAAGAAGTCCCCAGTTGTATCAACGTGCTTCTGGATTGGCTCGAAAGGGTTGATGGCAGCGCCTTCTGTCGGCAGTAGAAATCACTGCGCATGGACCATAATCGACATCCGTTCTTTGGAATAGTTGCGTCATTTGCAGTAGAGCGTCGTACCCGTGCTTATCTCGGTCATGTAAAGGCTTATAAATAGGTGGCTTCTACTGAGGTCACCGACACCGCCATGTAGCAATGCCGACATGGTGGAAGGCGAAGTCCGTAGCGTCACCTTAAGGCTATTAGCACCTCGCACGAAGGAATTCTTTCGTTATTCGAGCATTCCGAGACTAATAACGTTCTAGAGCGTCGTTATAACGTTGAAACAAGTCCCTTCGAGGCGTCACGACACTACGCCTCATTGACGTCAACAAATCTGCCAGGATGAAATACTGGGCGAGTTGGTACAGATTACACAGTTCAGAGCTGACATGGCCAAGGTGCAGCGCTGTACCGTGTCCCCTGCTCGCATTCGTTCGCATTGGTTGCGATGTTAGCCTCTACGAAAGCCGCCATATTGAGGCGCCAGTTCTTTAAGACTCTGCGTACATATGACGTCACTCACTGGCTTTCAAAACACCTTTTCACTGGAGGGAAAAAACGCCGCCTTGTTGGGCTGTGCACAGGAGTACAAAGACTGAAGTTGAAGCCTCGGTATTGCATTTTCGAGGGGTAACGCCAATTCGCGCAGCCCAGAAAAGACTATGGTGGCGCTCAGGGAGCCGTTTTTGAAAATGTCTGAAAGTATACGGGGGTCACCGAGTCTGATTCTGAATACCGTTTTTGCCTGCACTAAGCATGCTTAACCCGTTAAAGTGGCCTAGTTGCTATCGTGCTTGCCTGCAGACCCGAAGGTCCTGGGGTCAAATTCCGGGTGCGGAGGCCGCATTTCGATGAACGCCAAGCCCGCGCGTTAACATTTTGGCGCCCTTTAAACAAGCCAAAATGGGCGAAATTTACTACTGAGTCTTCTACATCGGCGTCTATCATAATAATGTCGCCGTTTTGGGACCTAAACCCCAACAGTTATCATTATTGTTGTTATTACAGTTATTAATATCTGGAAGGCCATCTGCGAACGCGAATTCACGAACAGTGCACGGACGCAGGTCGGCGGCCTCGTCCTGGTTGCGATGACGTCGTCCATGAGTGGCCGGGACTCGAAGGCGATGTTCCTCCTGACAGGCTCGGCGGCAACATTTGGCTTCAACGGTGCCTGCATGCTGGTGTCCATCGTGATCAACCCCTCGTGTGCCTACCAGCTACCGCGCATGCATTATGTGAGTTAAAAGTATGACATGATATAGCATAACATAGCAGGGATAAATACATACAGATATATACGTTCATAGGAAGATGGGCTATAGGACCAGAGGCCAGCAATAAATGTGGAGCTCATCAAAATCACTCAGGAAATGTGTTTGGCGCTTTAAGCTCACCTGGACTCACCAAATTTTCCCCAACCGGACTCACTCCAACTCAAACTCACTGATTTCTTCTCGACAGGACTCACCTGTCACCTGGACTCAAACTTGCTCAGGCTCATGGCTCAACCTGAATTTGATACCTCTGTCACACGCGGAAACTTAAGTGCACTTCGAGCGAGTGTACTTATAGGCTCAAGAAGTGTCATTGTGGCGGTTCGCTGCTACACGAAAAAGCGAAGTGTACTTTAGAAATGATGTGTCATTTTTGCGTCTGTATCTCATCGTCGGACCACGTTGTATTCGTGGAAGTAGCACCTGCAGCGCACGCCATCTTAAATGACTACAGAACAGCTCAACAATACATGTGCAAATGTGCCTGTAAGTAAACAACGTGACGGACGTAGCCATTGCACAACCAACGCCTCCTCTAGAGGAGGCGTTGGCACAACATGTGCTGCCGTATCCCCGTAGCGGACGTGGCCGCAAAATGCCCGACGGTGAGAGTAGCGAAGTTTTTTGTTGTAGTTTATGACTTGTTTGAATACATAGCAGTATTCCTTATAACAAAAACAATGGTATAAAAATTGTATGAGCGCCACTTTAAGCAGCAACGTATTTCTGTACAAGCGACTGGTTACAAAGGCTAAACATTTCGTCGCACTGTCACAGCCGTCGCAGCAAAAAGAGTTTGGGCAACACACTTGCCGGCAAGTGTACTTTGCAGCGAGTGACACTCAAGGAGGATTACAAAAAATTGCTGGAGTGGAAATCATTGCCTAGCAGTGAAGCCGTTCCTCTGGCGAGATAGCGGCTGCGGCGGCCATATTACTAGGGGCATAATAAAGTATCGCCGTTCAGTGATAAAGAACAGAGTATATCTCTCGCACGCCTAAAGTGTGTAATATTGAAACTTTTTCGGCTCAAATAGTGCTCCAAGTGCGTCTTAGCGTTACTAGTTTTCCTTAGTGAGCCTACTGGAGGCAAAGTTCTTGGGAAGTTCAGTCACCCATACTCGTTTCTGTGCGTTATTTTGTCGGGAACAACTATCTTTTAATATAGAACTAACGTAGCATTTACACTAACTTATCAAAGTCATTGATCTTTAAGTGGGCACTACCAGAAAAGAAAGCATGTTTCCGCCATCTTGGCAGTGGCAAAAGCTGGCTTCACTTCTGCTGGCAAGGCATTGCGGAAGCTTCCACTTCAGCATTTTTTTTTAATACTAGGTTCCTTGGTGACAGTAAACTTTCTTGTATGACCGCGCAAATGACACTCGCGGTGAAGTGTACTCGCTCAAAGTGCACTTAACATGTGACTGGGGTAGGATTGATTGATTGATATGTGGGGTTTAACGTCCCAAAACCACCGAAATGATTATGAGAGACGCCGTAGTGGAGCGCTCCGGAAATTTCGACCACCTGGGGTTCTTTAAAGCGCACCCAAATCTGAGCAGACGGGCCTACAGCATTTCCACCTTCATCGGAAATGCAGCCGCCACAGCCGGGATTTGATCCCGCGACCTGCGGGTCAGCAGCTGAGTACCTTAGCCACTGGACCACCGCGGCGGAACATGACTGGGGTAGGAGTGAGCCGGTTCGTGAGTGAGTTCGCCGACCTAACGACGAAGTTAAACGGATCCGGTGAAAAATGCAGTTGAAGAGGAAGATGGTCAACGTACTGAACACAACTTATAGTATTGCGTAACGGCCATTCGACCACTTTTCCTCCGCGGTGCTCTTTTCATCAGAGAAGCCCTAGTACGCAGGCAGGTGCACCACTGTCGCAACGTTGGTAAAGTGGTCCATGAGTGTTGAAGATTGGGCGAGTTGGTTTGTCGTACTTGAACTGGTATAGCGCATTACGGGGAAGAAGAAACGGCCGAGCAGACCGACACAAGAGGACAGAGCGCTCTGTCCTCTTGTGTCGGTCTGCTCGGCCGTTTCTTCTTCCCCGTAATGCGCTATACCAGTTCAAGGTAAAGTGGTGCTTCGTACGTTTCAGTTATACGTAGCGAAAAATCTTTTTTGTACGGGATGGGGTACGACGGGGGAGGGGAAGTTCAGCTATACATTATGTATGTGCGTGTATGCGTTTGTAAGTGTGTCCAAGTTTGTACATATATTTGCACATGCAAAACTGAAAATTCAACCGTTTGATTCCCCCCCCCCTCCCCCAGTCCTTCCTCCAAAAGCCATATGTTCCTCATAACACGCGTGAAGTGACAGTTGGGGACGTGGGCATGGGCTCCAGTGATGAAACAAAAGCATCATCATGCGATATCACGCATGACGTCAACATGACGTCTAATGTCAGCAAATCGCGTGACGTCAATAACGACGTTAACATTGGCATAGTAACTTGGTCAAAAATTGGTCATTTCCGTAGGCACTGCGCTTAGGTTTGTTCGCTGTGGCGCATCATACATTTCGTGGAAAAGGTTATGGAACAATAAAAAAATTGCGGCGCCGAATTACGTACTGGTAAATGACACTGGGAAATGTAGAG